GTTCATATACAGTCAATGAACTAAGTAGACCAGACCCAGCTGCTATCGCGTTGGTGTCTATGGGAGAGCCACCCCTTAAGTAGACTGGAACTGTGTCCATTTTTTTCAATGTTAAATGGCCTGTGTAAGACATCTTAATTTATCCAGCATCTTGGTTTCCCCCCACCCCCAGCTGGGTTGATTTGCCTCCCTCCTCTCTAGCGATTGTTTTCCTTTGAGTCTGATCTGGCATTCCAGTGAGCATAGCCTCTCCTTGTTTATGTTCAGTTAGTAGTGGGGTTTCTGGGTGTGGAACCCCTCCCCTCTGACCCCCTGACAGTCCCATTGTCTGCCTCTGACAGCTCCCCGACCCACTGGGGTCACCCCGACCCCCTCCGGCCTACATAGCCTCACTGTCACTGACCCACAGATTGACACGGCTCCCCTTACTGTCAACAGCTCAGCTCCTGCACGCTGCTCCAGTCAGACACTTACAGCAGAGCAGCTCAGAGCAGCTATCACTCATGTTCAGGGTCCAGATGCAGGGCAAAAAACGACAAACATGACGCTCGGTGGGAACCGGAAAGGCAAAAACATTATTTTCCCAACACTGCAAGAAAGCATACTTATACAGCTAGAAGAGGGAGCTCTGTTCTGTTTTATCTTAATATCAGTGTTATCTTGTCCTTGAGGGAACAACATGCTAACATTTCTGTAATTTCACTGGGAAAATAAAGTGGTCATTTTATTTAATGTAAAAATGTTTGCCTGTGTGTGTATAGGAGAACCTGTTTTCAATTTGGTCTTAGACTCGTCCAGCTTCAGTCTGGCAACGTCTTTGGGTTTTGTCTCAACAGATAAATCTGCTGCAACGTCGACCCGCTGAACGCTCCCGCTGATACCATTTTTGAGACTGAGCTGTGGATGATGTTATTCTACTCCCCGTCCCCTGCTAAAAAGCACATGCCCCCCCCCCCCCCCCCCCCCCCCCCCCAAAAAAAAAATGGCACTGTGGTGTCCATCTAGCTACCAACAGACAATAAATACATTGTGTAGTTCAGACAATATGCTCTAGGTCAGGGGTGTCAAACTCATTTTAGCTCAGGGGCCACATGGAGGAAAATCTATTCCCAAGTGGGCCGGACCGGAAAAATCATGGTATATATAACTTAAAAACAACAACTTCAGATTGTTTTCTTTGTTTTAATACGATCAACATACAACATAAAGCTGGAGCCTGAGGACAGTGTGTCCAAAATAGTACAAGCACAACATCACTATTAATCATAAAACACGTCAAGTTTATTTGAAAATTCTAAAGAAAAAGAACACACAAACACACAATGCCTCAGTGATTAACAGAACTGTTTCACAGATCACAGAACTATATCAGGGTGTCATTTCTCAGGCAGAAATGTAGATAAAAATAATGAAATCCTGTTCCCCAAACAAGTGCAAGAACCACAGAGTCAAGAATAGGTTAAATATACAAATAAAATAAAATCAATTAAAAACAATAGCACATCAACATAAAAACATATAAACATAAATCTGAAAGCGTTGCTCAAACTCCCGTATCAGTCCAGTTATTTTATCTTTGAACCGCTTCATGTCTGCCACATGTTGGGTCGCGCACACATTTTTCAGACAGGGGAAGTGAGCTGCATCACCACCGGCAAGTTCCGTCTCCCACAATGACAGCTTCAATTTGAAAGAACGTATGCTGTCATAATACTGCGTGACAACTTTGTTGCGCCCTTGCAGCTGTTTGTTCAAGTTATTCAGGTGCTCTGTAACATCCACCATAAATGCAAGGTCCGGCATCCATTCTGCGGAATGAAATTCTAACACTGGTTTGCCCTTTTCTTCCATGAACTGTTCAATTTCTTCTCGTAAATCAAAGAAACGCCTCAGCACAGCACCTCGGCTTAACCATCTTACCTCAGTGTGGTATGGCAGGCCATAGATGTGGTCTTTCTCTCTGAGAAGGCTGTCAAACTGACGGTGATTCAGGCTTCTGGATCGGATGAAATTAACAGTTTGGATGACCACCTTCATGACGTTATCCATCTTTAATGACTTGCAATACAAAGCCTCCTGGTGCAAAATACAGTGAAAAGTCAAAAAATCACGTCCTCCATTTGCAGATTGTACTTTCTCTCTGAACTTTGTCACAACGCCTGCTTTTTTCCCGATCATTGAGGGTGCACCATCTGTAGCCAGGCTGACAGCGCGGGACCAGTCCACTCCGACCCTGTCCAGCGCGCCGACGAGTGCGGTAAAAATATCAGCTGCTGTCTTTGTATCTGTCATCGGCACCAACTCCAGGAACTCCTCGGTGACGGTCAATGTGTTTTTCAATGAAAAAATGGCCAGTTGTGCAACATCTGTAATGTCCGTGCTTTCATCAATTGCAACCGAAAACGCAATAAATGACTTTACTTTTTGCTTCAACTGGCTGTTCAAATCCACTGAAAGATCGGAAATCCTGTCTGCAACTGTGTTTCTTGTCAGGCTGATATTTGCAAAAGCCTGCCGCTTTTCAGGGCACACAATCTCCGCTGCCTTCATCATGCATGTTTTTACAAATTCACCCTCACTAAATGGTTTTGAAGCCACTGCGATTTCATTAGCAATGTGGTAGCTAGCTTTCACTGCAGCGTCACTGATGTCTCGGCTGTGAGTAAACACAGACTGCTGTTTCTTCAGACCCGCCAACAGTTCATTCACCTTCTCTCATCTCCGCTGTCCTTGAAAGTTGTCATATTTGTCGGCATGAAGACTCACATAGTGGCGACGAAGGTTATATTCTTTCAGCACTGCAACATGCTCTGAACACACCAAACATACAGCTTTCCCATTCAATTCCGTGATTAAATAGGATGACCATTTTTCTTGGAACACTCTGCACTCTGCGTCCACTTTTCTCTTTTTTGACAGAGACATATTGGGGCAATGAGGGTGCCAAAGCACATAATGTTAAAAGTAGAAGCCGTAATAAATATCGCGGGCAAAACAAAGTAGCTCATTGGCTGCACGTGCTTGACCTACTTGCTCTGCCCCGGTATAAACAGTTTGCTTGCTTAACACAATTGCTATTGCGCCATCCAGTGGACGCAATTGGAACAGCAGTTTATTTTATTGAAAAATTGCAGCGCATTTTTATACTTTAAAAAAAAAAAAAAAATTTTTTTTTTTTTTTTAGAAATCATCTCGCGGGCCGGATTAAACCCGTTTGCGGGCCTGATCCGGCCCGCGGGCCGTACGTTTGACACCCCTGCTCTAGGTGAAGTAAACAGGATATTAGCTGATTTGTCATTTCAAAAAAAAAAAATTCTGAGAGGAAACACTTCTATGTAAAAGACACAAAGGCAAGTCTGTCGGATGGTTGGGGCATCGGTTTTTGGTTCCCAGGCCATAATGTACACTGGGATCCCAAACAATTATCCCTTTGGAAGTGTGTGTGGCTTTTGCCACTTCTCTGTTCTCTATGGGTAACAGGCAATGGTTGATGCTTTCTGACACCTTCCTGTCCGGTCTGTTCTTTAGCTTAGTTTTGTTTTCTTGTCGGACGTTAGCAAGTCGCTCTGTATTTGAGAGTTTGGTTTCATTTCCTGGTTACATTCACTTCTGAGTTAATCTGAAACACACAGCATAGTTTTGGGGCATAAACTTCAGGGAAAAGTCGTGAAGCTTTCAGTCAGCAATGGGAATCTGACTTATTTTTGAAGTTTATATTTTTTCACTCAATCCAAGCTGCTGGGTGACATTGACAGAGTGCCTGGTGTAAAATGTGAGAGGTGACTCACAAGTGCACTTATGCTCCTTTGTTTTAAATGAAACCAAATGCACTGACATATTTCTTACACATAGTCACCCACTCACCCTTTTTTCATTAGAATGGGGAATGATGAAGGTATCTATGCAGATGGGGAGAATCCCATGTAGGTGAAGCAGACTCACAACAGGACAATAAAAGTTAATAGGTCTACTTGAACTTTTGCATTGAGAGCAGGTGTATGTGTGTGAGTGAGACAGAGAGGGGGAGAAAGCAAACTGACTGCTAACCCAAAACCTTGCATTAGATTTGAGGTGCGACTATCATGATGTTCTGAGATGTTTGCATTCCTTATGGATTCTGACGGCATGGGTGATTTCATGGAATTTTTCTTGGATTTTTCTTCTGGAAAACAGATTTTGTTAGCGTGCATACTGGGGTTGGGACCATTGTGGATGATGTTCTTTTAAAAACAATTCTGGCGAAAAAATCATTTTCAGGTATTTTATTTACAACAAAGGATGCCCTATCTGTTGGAGAAATAACCTTAATTCCAAAGAGGGTAAAATGCTAATTCGGATACCAATTCTGATTTGGATTCTGCACTTCATGGATCTTATTAACGGACAATATTACTCAAGACATCCACGACACAGACGTAAGTAGCCAACCAACACATTTGACATTCGGACACCTGTTCTGCGTAATTCTACACACATTTGACTCCTCTCCATACATGCGTGAAAGCATGGACATTACTATGTGGGTGCAGTGAATTTTACTTTCAGGCAACAATGCGGTCATATATTTTCATGGTTTATACGCATTGGCTTACTATGTGAACCATTTTTTAAAACATTTTTAGTCATTTAGCAGACGCTCTTATCCAGAGCGACTTACAGTACATTGTAACGTTTGGCTGAGGGTTTGATAAACCTGGGCTGGCTTCTGTTTCTATTCTTGGTACATTGAATGTGCCATGTATAGTAAGTCATTACTCAGGTTTATGAGCATGTCAGGCAGCCTATACAGCATATGTTGAGTATAGAGTATAATGATTTCTGATAATGTAGTTCTTCCAAAAAAGACTGAAGTTGTATGGGATTCAAGTTTGACCAAATTTCACATGCACGTGCTCAAGGCGTGTAACTGCATCCACTCTTACGCAGGGACACATACACACGTGTGAGAGAGAAAGACAAACACACAGCCATAACACCAGCTCTTCTCTCCAGGTAGCTCAATGGTGAGCAGGTTGTGTCATGCTGGCTGCCTGACATGCTCAGCGTTAAACGGCTGCCTGTCCTGTAAGCCCCGCCTCTTCCTCCACTTGGGTCGTGATGGGATGCGGGAGAGGGGGACCTGTCTGCTATCCTGCCCCAGAGGTCACTATGGGACACGCTCCCCACATGTCAACACCTGCACTAGTGAGTCGTGATGGATGAACAACACTGACACTGTTATGGAGCGTTGTGATAATGTAATACATAGTGTAATGCCCTGAGCATGTATCCACTCTAACCACGGTCCCTGTCTGTGTCTCAGAGTGCAGGGAGGACTGTGTTTCCTGCTTCAACAGGAACTTCTGCACTCACTGTCGCCAGGGCCACTACCTGTACAGAGGGAGGTGTGAGGACAGCTGCCCCGAGGGCCTGACCCAAAACGCTGCACTAAGAGAGTGCAATGGTGAGTCTATTACACTACAGCTGAACAGTGATCTTCCTCCATAGTCATAATGTGTTCAAAGTCTGGCTAAAACTGATAAGATCCAGTATTGGTCGGCCAAGAATCTGGGCTTGGAACATCAAAATCACACATTGTGGAAGAAGACAGATATAAAGTACATATTTACAGAAGGGAGAAAGATCAATATAGAAATGTGTCTCTAACCTCTATGTCCCTCCGTCCCAGATTGTCCAGTGGGCTGTGAGGTGTGTGTGACGAGGAACACCTGCACCAGGTGTAGAGCAGGACAGTACCTCCTGCATGGCCAGTGCCATCATACCTGCCCAGTGGGGTTTGAGCCTGATGGACAGCTCATGGACTGCATTTCTCAAGGTTAGTGACTCTCTGTCCTTCCCCATCTCTGTACATGAGCCATCCCAATAGATAATTGATCGATCACTCTACAATGCAAATTTGAGTGTATATTTTGTGTATCTTTCTACTCTACAATGTCATGCCTCCCCATCTCTCTCTCAGTACACTGTACAGTGGGAGAATGGGTTGACTGGGGCCCCTGCTTTCGGAGAGGGAGGACCCGGGGCTACAAGAAGTTTGAGGAGGTACAAAGACGAGAGGTCCTACGGCACCCCACCCTGTATGGCGACCCCTGCCCCGACGTCAAAGAGTGGAGGAAATGTGTCATCAAAAGGAGACCGAGTCCAGGTATACTGGTGATCAAAGTGAAATGTTTGACTTATTTCAGTTTTCCCACATATCTTACATTGTCCTCTCCCCTTCTACAGGAAGATCAGATGGCAAAGGCATTAGGCCAACAGAACATTGATGCAAGATCATAGACGGGAGCAAAATAATAGCAAGTGGCAGATGTGATCAAAAACAGGATAGATGGACAGGAGGAGGACTGGATTGACTGGGTTGAAAGAGAGACCTCCATTGCCTGGACCTCAGTCGTGCCTGTAGTCAGGAACAGTGTGCAACAATTTATTCCTCTATGTTTGTGACCAGCTGTTGACCTGCCTTGGTTGAGAGACCTTGGAGTAGATAACATTATCTGTTCTAGAATTTCGGGTTCAACATTTTGGGTTCATTACATGTCACCCACACGATCCATTCCAGAAAAAGGTCACTAAATTGATATGAACTGAATTGAGCAGTGTTTAAAAAGCTAAATGTGTTATTCAAAATAGTTTTTTTTTGTTTCAATCATCATGATGGTGGATAGCCCACTTGTTCTACACGTGTAGCATTTCTCTGTATATCAAGTCAAATTGAAACTATTGATGCCTTTTCATGATTGAAATCATTGTTACAGGCCTACATAAAAGGTTTGTGTAGGAGATTGTATAGTCAATTACAGTATATTGTCTTCACAAATATGACTGAATTAAAAAATGTACCAAAAAACATTGTTTTTAAGTGGAAAGCCTACTCCAAATATGTCTATAGCTAGCTAAATATAACAAATTATATTCAATATTTACTGTACATTTTCTACTACATTAAGGCGGCAGGTAGCCTATCGTTTGGGGGATTTGAATCCCAAAGCCGACAAAGTGAAAAATCTGTTGATGTGCCCTAGCCCTCGATCATGACTCTCAGTTCCATTCCATTACACATAAGGGTCATTGGACGAAAGCGGGTTCTGTAGGGGGAGTTTTGTTAAGATCCCAGATGCTCCATCTGAACAGTAACACGCGTCGCTTGCAGTACGGTCTTGGAAGCATAAGGACCTTATCCTTCATATCAGTAAAAAAAAAAGTTACATTGATACACACATTGATAGGGTTAGTGTTCCCACATGGCCATGTCTCCATGTTACAGCGCTTGTTTGTGGAAAACAGACGGAAGAAAATAGTCAACCACCTGTGCTAATTAGCTATCTAGTATGCTCCGAACACCCGTGTGTAATATAAGTGCGCAACTTGGGAAATTTAGCGGAAGTGTAGTTTTATCGGATGAAGGCACCCATAGCTGTATGGATCTCTACTAAACTGCTACAGTAATTGTATCTTTTTTATTTGAAGGATTCTTTCTCGCTGATGAATGATAAGGGTCATATGTTTCAAAAGCCGGATTGCAAGCGATGAAAACGTTAAAACACAGTGTCGGGATTGTAGTTCACATGAGGCTGTTGTGGGCGAAGCTAATGGCTGAGAACTGTAAGGAGAAGGCAGAATGCCGCCTAGAGTTTTCTATAGCTAGATGTACCCTTGAGCAAGGCACTTAAACTTGATTGCTCCATGGTCGCATCTGATAATAGCTGACCTTGGCTATGACCCCACTCTCCGAGGGTGTCTCAGGGGGAGTTGGGATATGCAAAAAACACATTTCCATTTCACACATGGTATAATAGCCTACACACTTGTACATGTGTGAAACAGGACAAATATAAGCACCCACATGTCATACTTAAGTAATAATACATGAGGCCATGTATTATTACATTTTTATCATGGCTGTGATGTGGTCATAGCCACGAGGCGAAGCTGACAAATATAAGCACCCATATGTTATACTATATGATCTCCCTCCTCCGACGCTTGAGGTGGCAGGCAGACCATGTAGCAACGTCATCCCGTTACGTGTATGAATACACGGAAGGAGGAGGAACGTCAGTTTTTTTGCTTTGTTTTGGTGGCAGATATTTTAGTAATTAGCTAGCTAGCGTTTATAGGTCGAGAACAATCAATATTTGCGAATTATCTAAAAACACCACTGAGCGAAGGTCAAACGCTATTCATGACAGGTGAGTGAGGAGGAAATTCGCTCGAGGGAGAAGACAGTCAAGGGGTGTGTCACTGACAACTGTCCTCCGAAGCTAACAGTATTGAAAGCAAAGCTTGTCAACAAGAAATGGCTACTGGACAGTAGCTAGCTAGATTGATGGCGATATCATACTATTGATGTGTCTATTTAGTAGGTAGCTACCTAGCTATGTTCTTTATGGTAGTTTTCCTGTTCATGGATTCCTGTTCTCTTTAGATTAGCAAGATGACTAACGTTATAGCAACATACCGCCTCTTATAGCTAACCAGTGTTTTTATCTCTCTGGGAAAGGTGGGATTAAATTGACTCGTGAGTCCTGTCTGTTTTCAACAATATTTTTTCCATAGAGAGGAACTTTGAGAGAATACAGAATTGACCCTGATGTCATCCCAGTAACTGCACTTGAGACAGGAAGTCACTCATTTATTTTCCATCATAGTAATTAGGGCAATATGATTCTAGCCAGCTAAATCTTCTGAAATTCGCATTTAGATATTTAGTTGTATTGCTAATTTAATCTCTCGTGACAGCTTTTATGTGAGCTTGTTCTACTGGGAGCTGAGATTATTGCTTAAAATTAGTCTGCAGGACTGTCTGTCTTTTTCTTTGTCTCAGCATTAGCTGAACTAGCTGTGTCTCCCCACTCAGCATGGCGAGCTGTGGTGAGGTGGACCACACTGTGGACACTATGTCCTCCTCTAAGGTGGAAGACAGAGGGGACGCCTGTACTGGTGACTCCCCCACCTCCCCTAACCCTTCGGCCAACCCCTTGCCGGAGTGTGCCATCTGCCTCCAGACCTGTGTCCACCCGGTTCGCTTGCCCTGCCGCCACGTCTTCTGCTTCCTGTGCGTTAAAGGAGCCTCCTGGCACAGCAAGCGCTGCGCTCTCTGCAGACAGGAAGTACCTGAGGACTTCCTGGAGCATCCCACCCTGCTGTCCCCAGAGGAGCTGAAGGCAGCAGCAGCAGGGAGACGAGGAGGAGCCGGGCCGAGGAGCGCTGGGGGAGACAATGCCTGGTACTACGAGGGGAGGAATGGATGGTGGCAGTATGACGAGAGGACCAGCCGCGAGCTGGAGGACGCCTTCGCCAAGGGCAGGAAGCGCGCCGAGATGCTGATTGCTGGCTTCCTGTATGTGGCTGACCTGGAGAACATGGTGCAGTACCGCCGCAACGAGCACGGTCGCCGCCGCTGCATGAAGCGTGACGTGGTGGATATTCCCAAAAAGGGTGTGGCCGGTCTCAGACTGGACCCTGACCCCACCCCACCAGTTGTTGCCATGGCAGCTGTTCCGGTCACAACGGCGACAGTGGAGCGGACATGCTCCGCTGACGGGGAGGATGTGACTGGACAGTCGCAGGCGGGGGGCTCAGGGGTTCTCATCCCAGCTCCTCCTGTCAGACCCCCTACAGTCCTGGGGGCCCACCCTGCCACCCCAGCCTCCATCTCCCTTGAAGACGCTCTGTCCCAGCTCCTCATCAGACAACCAGAGGGGGAGGGAGAGAAGGAGGATGAAGAGGAGGTAGCTTCAAGCATGAGCCAGGCATACGAGTCAGCATCTGGTAGCAGTGAGGATGAGGGTGGTGGTGATGAGGTAGGCCGGGGGTGGGACAGGGACAGGGAGAGGGAGGGGGGGGGACGAGAGGTAGGGGCTCGACGGAGGACCAGATATAGACTCCTAACGCGGTGGCTCAGGGATGTCCAGCCTGACAGACTGCCACCTGGTGGTGGGTCCTCCAGCGGAGTCCTTACTGTGCGCTCACGCAGCCCTGACGGTCAGTGCACTGTCACTGAGGTGTGACCACAACTGGACCACTGTCTCTGCACTCAACCGGCTCAGCAAAAAAAAACATTCACTTCATGCCCATGGTGGTAATGAAGAACCCAAGGGAAGATAGCAGATCAGCCATTTGCATTACATATACAGTTGAGTCAGCCACAAAGGCTAATCAATAATTTATAATAATACGTCAGCCAGCAAGATTATGCAAAATTGTACACAATCAAATAGCCCATACATACTGCTCTACTGTCTGCCACTGTAACCTTTTGATGCCATGTTATTATGGCTAACCATACATTGGCACTAAATATTTGAAGAGAAATTGTGAAATGATAAAGGTTTGAGATTTGGAGGGGACTTAACCTTTTAAATGTAGCATCCCATCTCTAACCGGAGGCAAAAAGTAATTATTTTGTTTTGTCGGTACATTGCTTTTTGCTGTAAGAAATGTATTTTCTAATTTCCATTGAGAGAGTGTGTGTGTGTGTGTGTGTGTATTGAGGTCATATTTCATCTTAATATATAAAAAAAATATGTTTCTTAATGTGTTGTGAGTGAAAGGTGATGAGAGCCTACTGGTAGAGAAAGGTCTTGGGTGTAGAGACCAGTGTGGATTTATATTTGTTGTTCCAGTATTCTATGAAAACAGTGTGGATGGGATATTATTCTAACTCTTCTGTCAACTTCTTATTGTCACGTATTTGTCAAAGTATTTTTGACTTATTTAACATATGTGTGTGGTCTTTTTTGTTTAACTGTGTTGTTTTGTCAAAACAATAAAGTGTTTGTCTATTTGACCTTAATTGAAAAGTAATGAGTTCAATTGTATGGGTAACTTAAAGGGAATATGACAATTATTGGAAGGGCATAGCTATTACGTGTGCATATGGCTTTGGGAGATACAGTACATTGCATTGTGAATCAGCGTTGTGACTAAGCATTGTGAATTTAGACCCACAAGGTTTTTTTATAATCATGTTTTGACCAGGCAGGTAAATTAAGAACAAATTCTTACATCAGCTAAGTACATTTAAGTCATTTAACAGACGCTCTTATCCAGAGCGACTTACAAATTGGTGCATTCAACTTAGGATCGCCAGTGGGACAACCACTCCCTTTTTATTTGATTTTTTTATAAGGGAGGGGGGGCTAGAAGGATTACTGTTATACTATTCCAGGTATTCCTTAAAGAGGTAGGGTTTCAAGTGTCTCCGGAAGGTGGTCAGTGACTCCGCTGTCCTGGCGTCGTGGGGGTGTTGTTCCACCATTGGGGTGCCAGTAGGTGGAAGTGATGGGAAATGCTGTATCAAGAGACTTCCTCATTCAGATGAAAGATGACGTGACAAAATTGAGCGGAAGATGTTGAGAGAAATGGATGGAAAAATATGGTTAACACTGTGGTTACTTAGAGGCATGAGACAAACTCAATGACTTGTCTTTTCATCAACTATAAATCAGAAACTTTTGCATGACAGACACCATTTGTCTGGATTGAAACATGGGGGTTATTATATTCCTCCTGCTTCTGGCCATACAGAATGACTAAGCAGCAGGACAGTGTGGGTGAGTGAGGGAATGGTTTTACAAACTGAAACTGATTGGATGCAAATCGTGCAGATGTTTCCCTGGATTCACTTGGTGTGTGGATATTGATGAGTGTGTGGATAAGCCGGCCATCTGTGGGGTCCATTTGGCTTGCCCCAACACCTATGCTGTCTACCGCTGTGAATGTCAACCTGGGTTCATAGCAGAGAAGAGTACATCAGGACGATGTGTGGACCTAGACATGTGTAAGAAGTTGTTCTGAGGAGAGAGGGGGACCTGTCAATCTGGAGGGCACCTACCATGCCAGTGCCCCCTGGGTTCAATAACTATGGTAAGAAACAAAATGGGTGTACAGAGCTGAATTGTGAGCTGCATGGACCACAGCAGGCTACAGCTGGACAGGCTCTGCCAGGCTTTGGCAGTCTTATCTCTGTTGAGACGGAACTGTTTGAGTAAGTCTGGAGCAATGGGAGCTGACTAGAGAAGTGATTTTAGAAGAAGTATGTTAGCCTCCCTGAGCTATATCAGAGAACACACAAAAACACACATCACCCTGCCTCTGTTGTCTATCTTCTCTCTAAAGGGACTGGTCAACGGCACCACTGATGTTCTTCAATTCTGCCTCCAGTCCGACGATCACTGTGGTAACAGCAGTGAAGTGACCAGCCTACAGAGGTCAGTTGAAAACGCAATTCGACTGATCGCCCCTCAGCTGAGAAACACCACAATCAGGATCAACCGCACAGAGGTGGAGCTTGTTGTCAGATGGGACCGGACTCCACTCAGTGGACCGGTCAGCCTGACCAATGAAAACGCCCAACTGGACACCACCTGAGAAACCGCAACTGGTGATGACACCTACCCAGGGTATGCCTTCGTCACTACTCGGGTACAAAGGTCTTCAGTCTTTGGCCAATGGATCGAAAACCAATCAAAAACTCCAGAGTGGTTACTGTTTCTGTTAGCAACTCAAACACAACAAGGCTGCGCCAACAGGTCATTCTCACCGTCACACACCTGCAGCCCAGTGATGGGCACCAGCACGCCTGTGTTTGTTGGTCAGAGGAGAAGGGAGAGGGGTCAAGGCGGGGCTGTGCCTCAGAGGTGGAGGCCGGTACTCTACCCTGAACCTTAGAGACTGCTGCCCTATGTACATAGTCATTGAACACTGGTCACTTTAATAATGTTTACATACTGTTTCACCCACTTTATATGTATATACTGTGTTTACATTTACATTTACGTCATTTAGCAGACGCTCTTATCCAGAGCAACTTACAAATTGGTGCATTCACCTTATAGCCAGTTGGATAACCACTTTACAATTGTTTGTTCTAGTCATGGCTCATCCTATATATATATATATATATATATATATATATATATCAATAACAGAAGTTTCTCAATACTTTGTTATATACCCTTTGTTGGCAATGACACAGGTCAAACGTTTTCTGTAAGTCTTCACAAGGTTTTCACACACTGTTGCTGGTATTTTGGCCCATTCCTCCATGCAGATCTCCTCTAGAGCAGTGATGTTTTGGGGCTGTCGCTGGGCAACACGGACTTTCAACTCCCTCCAAAGATTTTCTATGGGGTTGAGATCTGGAGACTGGCTAGGCCACTCCAGGACCTTGAAATGCTTATTACGAAGCCACTACTTCGTTGCCCGGGCGGTGTGTTTGGGATCATTGTCATGCTGAAAGACCCAGCCACGTTTCATCTTCAATGCCCTTGCTGATGGAAGGAGGGTTTCACTCAAAATCTCACGATACATGGCCCCATTCATTCTTTCCTTTACACGGATCAGTCGTCCTGGTCCCTTTGCAGAAAAACAGCCCCAAAGCATGATGTTTCCAACCCCATGCTTCACAGTAGGTATGGTGTTCTTTGGATGCAACTCAGCATTCTTTGTCCTCCAAACATGACGAGTTGAGTTTTTACCAAAAAGTTATATTTTGGTTTCATCTGACCATATGACATTCTCCCAATCCTCTTCTGGATCATCCAAATGCACTTCAGACGGGCCTGGACATGTACTGGCTTAAGCGGGGGGACACGTCTGGCATTGCATGATTTGAGTCCCTGGCGGCGTAGTGTGTTACTGATGGTAGGCTTTGTTACTTTGGTCCCAGCTCTCTGCAGGTCATTCACTAGGTCCCCCCGTGTGGTTCTGGGATTTTTGCTCACCGTTCTTGTGATCATTTTGACCCCACGGGGTGAGATCTTGCGTGGAGCCCCAGATCGAGGGAGATTATCAGTGGTCTTGTATGTCTTCCATTTCCTAATAATTGCTCCCACAGTTGATTTCTTCAAACCAAGCTGCTTACCTATTGCAGATTCAGTCTTCCCAGCCTGGTGCAGGTCTACAATTTTGTTTTTGGTGTCCTTTGACAGCTCTTTGGTCTTGGCCATTGTGGAGTTTGGAGTGTGACTGTTTGAGGTTGTGGACAGGTGTCTTTTATACTGATAACAAGTTTTAAACAGGTGCCATTAATACAGGTAACGAGTGGAGGACAGAGGAGCCTCTTAAAGAAGAAGTTACAGGTCTGTGAGAGCCAGAATCTTGCTTGTTTGTAGGTGACCAAATACTTATTTTCCACCATAATTTGCAAATAAATTCATTAAAAATCCTACAATGGGATTTTCTGGATTTTTTTCTCTCAATTTGTCTGTCATAGTTGACGTGTACCTATGATGAAAATTACAGGCCTCTCTCATCTTTTTAAGTGGGAGAACTTGCACAATTGGTGGCTGACTAAATACTTTTTTTCCCCACTGTATATATATATATATATATACATATATATATATATAATGTCTTCTTTTTTTGGGATTATGTGTGTGTTTTTTTATTGCTAGGTATTACTGCACTGTTGGAGCTAGAAACACGAGCATTTCGCTGCACCTGCGAATCTGTGTACACGACCAATAAACTTAGTCTAACTCCACCCACACGGTGTGCTCCTGCAGTCATCTCAGCAGATTTGCCCTGCTCAAAGATATCCACCAGATGCCACTGTCTGTGGTGATGTGGGTGGGCACTTCCGTGGCTATGGCCTGTGTGGTCATATTGCTACTCATGACCCAGTGGTGTCAGCTACAAGCGTTATGAGAGGCGCCTCCAGCAACAGGACATACAGTGCATTCGGAAAGTATTCAGACCCCTTCCCTTTCTCCACATTCTGTTACGTTACAGCCTTATCTAAAATTGATAAAATAAAATAAAATCCTCAAATCTACACACAATACCCGATGATGACAAAGTGAAAACAGGCTTTTAGAAATGTTTGCTAATGTATTAAAAATAAAAACCAGACATACCATCCTTTACATATGTATTCAGACTCTTTGCTATGAAACTAGAAATTGAGCTCAGGTGCATCCTGTTTCCATTGATCATCCTTGATGTTTCTTCAACTTGATTGGAGTCCAGCTGTGGTAAATTCAATTGATTGGACATGATTTGGAAAGGCACACACCTGTCTAAATAAGGTCCCACAGTTGACAGTGCATATCAGAGCAAAAACCAAGCCATGAGGTCGAAGGAATTGTGTCGAGGCACAGATCTGGGGAAGGGTACCACATTTTCTTTGCATAATTGAAGGTCCCCAAGAACACAGTGGCCTCTATCATTAAATGGAAGAAGTTTGGAACCACCAAGACTCTTCCTAGAGCTGGCCGCCCGGCCAAACTGAGCAATCGGGGGAGAAGGGCCTTGGGGAGGTGACCAAGAACCCGATGGTCCCTCTGACAGAGCTCCAGAGTTCCTCTGTGGAGATGGGAGAACCTTCCAGAAAGACAACCATCTCTGCAGCACTCCACCAATCAGGCCTTTATGGTAGAGTGGCCAGACGGAAGCCACTCCTCAGTAATAGGCACATTTCAGCCCGCTTGGAGTTTTTCTTTATTTTTACTATTTTCTACATTGTACAATAATAGTGAAGACATCAAAACTACACATATGGAATCATGTAGTAACCAAAAAAGTGCTAAACAAATCTAAATATATTTTATATTCTTCAAAGTAGCCACCCTTTGCCTTGATGACAGCTTTGCAGACTCTTGGCATTCTCTCAATCAGCTTCACCTGGAATGCTTTTCCAACAGTCTTGAAGGAGTTCCCACAAATGCTGAGCACTTGTTGGCTGCTTTTCCTTCACTCTGCAGTCCAACTCATCCCAAACCATCTCAATTGGGTTGAGGTTGGGTGATTGTGGAGGCCAGGTCATCTGATGCAGCACTCCATCACTCTCCTTCTTGATCAAATAGCCCTTACAAAGCCTGGAGGTGTTTTGGGTCATTGTCCTGTTGAAAAACAAATGATAGTCCCACTTAGCGCAAACCAGATGGGATGGCGTATCGCTGCAGAATGCTGTGGTAGCAATGCTGGTTAAGTGTGCCTTGAATTCTAAATAAATCACAGACAGTGTCACCAGCAAAACACCCCAACACCATCACACCTCCTCCTCCATGCTTCACAGTGGGAACCACACATGCGGAGCTCATCCGTTCACCTACTCTGCGTCTCACAAAGACATGGCGGTTGGAACCAAAAATCTCAAATTTGGACTCATCAGATCAAAGGGCAGATTTCCACCGGTCTAATGTCCATTGCTCGTGTTTCTTGGCCCAAGCAAGTCTCTTCTTATTATTGGTGTCCTTTAGTAGTGGTTTCTTTGCAGCAATTCGACCTGCTTGGGCCTTGCATCTGTAAAAGGTTGAGGGTTTTAGGTGCCATGCCAAATTTCTTCAGCCTCCTGAGGTTGAAGAGGCGCTGTCTTCACCACACTGTCTGTGTGGGTGGACCATTTCAGATCGTCAGTGATGTGTACGCCGAGGAAGTTGAAGCTTTCCACCTGCTCCACAGTGGTCCCGTCGATGTGGATAGGGGCGTGCTCCCTCTGCTGTTTCCTGAAGTCCACGATCTGCTCCTTTGTTTTGTCGACATTGAGGGAGAAGTTATTTTCCTGGCACCACACTCTAAGGGCCTTCACCTCCTCTGTGTAGGACTATCTCGTCATTGTTGGCAATCAAGCCTACTACTGTTGTGTCGTCTGCAAACTTGATGATTGAGTTGGAGGCGTGCATGGCCACGCAGTCATGGGTGAACAGGGAGTACAGGAGGGGGCTGAGCACGCACCCTTGTGGGGCCACTGTGTTGAGGATCAGCAAAGTGGAGGTGTTGTTTCCTACCTTCACCAGCTGGGGACGGCCCGTCAGGAAGTCCAGGACCCGTTGCACAGGGCGGGGTTCAGACCCAGGGCCCGAGCTTAATGTTGAGCTTGGAGGGTACTATGGTGTTGAATGCTGAGCTTTAGTCAATGAACAACATTCTTACATAGACATTCCTCTTGTCCAGATGGGATAGGGCAGTGTGCAGTGTGATGGCGATTGCATCGTCTGTGGATGTATTGGGGCTGTAAGCAAATTGAAGTGGGTCTAGGGTGTCAGGTAAGGTAGAGGTGATATGACCCTTAACTAGCCTCTCAAAGCACTTCATGATGACAGAAGTGAGTGCTACGGGGCAATAGTCATTTAGTTCAGTTACCTTTGCTTTCTTGGGTACAGGAACAATAGTGGACATCTTGAAGCAAGTTGGGACAGTACCCCCCCCCCTTGACGCGCGGCTCCAGCCATGCGCCGCCCCCGGCCTCGGGGACGACCAGGAGGACGCGGAGCAGGGCGCGTAGGATGACCACGATGGAACTCGGTCAGAAGAGACGGGTCTAGGATGTCCCTCCTCGGCACCCAGCACCGCTCCTCCGGGCCGTACCCCTCCCACTCCACGAGATATTGGAGACCCCCCATCCGGCGTCTCGAATCTAGGATGGCCCGAACAGTGTAGGCCGGAGCCCCCTCGATGTCCAACGGGGCGGAGGAGTCTCTTCTATCTCAAAGTCCTGGAGTGGACCAGCTACCACCGGCCTGAGGAGAGACACATGGAACGAGGGGTTAATATTCTTGTAATCAATGGGCAGTTGTAACCTGTAACACACCTCGTTCAATCTCCTCAGGACTTTAAAAGGCCCCACAAACCGCCGACCCAGCTTCCGGCAGGGCAGGCGGAGGGGCAGGTTTCTGGTTGAGAGCCAGACTCGATCTCCAGGTGCGTACACTGGCCCCTC